ATCATTTTGAGTGAAGAACACTGCTGAAAAAGCAGCCTCTGAAAGGAGCAACGAGGGGAATTGCTAGGTAAGTGCCAGCATAGCTATAGGCCAGGGGTAGGCAACGTTTTTTGGCTGGAGTGCCGAAAAGCACCACAATGCCTACCTTGGAAAATGCTGGAGTGCCGGCATGCCAGAAAAACAAAATGAGGGCAAGGGGTACATGGAAGGATGCCCTGCTTGTGTGTCTGCCCCCCAGCCCTGCCGCCCCTGCCCCCCAGCCCGGGCTCCTGGCTGACAGCAGCTACCCAGAGCCAGGGCCGGCTGCAGCCGGGAGGCTTCAAACAGCTGCGCTGGGCTCCACAGCTCTGGCATTAGCTCCATGCTGGTGGCGACTACACAAGCACCTCAGGGTGGGCTGTGCTGCCCTGCTGTCTGCTCCGAGGTGCACACGCAGTCTCTGTCAGCATGGAACTGATGCTGGAGCTGTGGAGCCTGGCACAGCTGTTTGCAGCCTGCCTGCTGCTTGCTGCAGCTGCCCAGAGCCCAGGCTGGCTACAAACAGCTGTGCTGGGCTCCAGAGCCCAGTCACCAGCTCTGTGCCAGGAGCCGGGGACAGACCGGAGTTGCGTCGCCTTAGACCCCTCCCCCTCCACCCACCTTGATGCAGTACAGAGCTGATGCCGGAGCCTGATGCAGCTGTTTGAAGCCTCCCGGCTGCAGCTGGCCCTGGCTCTGGGTAGCTGCTGGGAGCCAGGAGCCTGGGCTGCTCCCAGCAGGCAGCTGGGAGCCAGGCTCTGTTGCTGGCAGGAGCCTGGGCTGGCTGTGGCATGCCGAGCAAAATGGCCACATGTGCCATGCTTGGCACGCATGCCGGGGGTTGCCGACCCCTGCTATAGGCCAAGCAACTCCAGCCACAGTGTAACAGCTGAGGGTAAATTAACCGGGAGGGGTGAGCCCCGCTCCCTTTTTGTCTTTGTGTTTTGCAGGATGTGAACCACCACTGAAGTACAAAGTGTGCTTGGGACAGAGAGGAATCAAGCTTGACTGTGTTATGTATAGTAACTGTGTTTTGCTGTGTTTGTAGAATGCTATTGTAATAAGTGATTGTGAGATCAACTGTGATAGACTATGAAATTTAAAGCAAAGCTTCTTGATAGGCTATGAAATACCTGAAGATTGGTTACAAGAAATGGTGCATCATGCGGAGCATCGTCTTCAAGGCCTCACAGAGTTCAGCCATGCATAAGATGAATAAAGTTGGATTGATTGTTTTCTTTCTTTCTGGCTGCCGCCAAGTGTGTTTGCCGGCAGAGCCCCCCACTTTAATTACTTTTAATTACTTTTCCCTGCCTTTTTTTTCACTTTTTCTAAGTCCTTTCTCTTGCAGTAACCTGGTCTCCCTTCCCACCCCCTCCCTCTGGGTTTATTTTGTCCCACCCTCCTCACTGCAGTTGCTCTGCTGCTTATTCTTTTCTCTTCTCTTCCCTGCCACATTGCTTACCTTTCTCCCCTCCTCTGGTATTTGTTTGTTTTCCAGCTTTTTTGTTCCCTGTGAGCCAGAGGGCTGTCCATCTCCCCACCCCTCTGGTTCCTAGCAGGGTTAACCTTTTTTTCACTTGAATGGCTGAAGGCAGCTCCCAACGGCCCACTGCTGGGGCTTCTGCCCCTCTGGGCTGGAGCTTTGGTCTCTGGCTTCATGCCCTTCCCTCCATTGGAGTGGAGGAGTGTGCTGCTGCTGTGGGGGTGCTTGTAGGCTGCAAACATGTTCTTGAGGCTGCCCAGGTGAGTTCAGTCCTTATCGTTTTCTTCAGCTCCCCTGCTTTGGTGTGTGAGGTTGTGGTAGCAGGTGTCTGTCCAGAGTGTTTTTTGCCTTGTGACACCCCTAGACACACCAGCCATTTGGTTAGTAGCCTCGAATGTGCCGCCATTTCTCTCGGACGATGAACTCACTAACTGCCTGCACCCTTATGGCATGGCTACAGGGCCGGTCCATAAACAGCTGCCTGACAGCAAAGTCCCTGAGCTCCGGCATGTTCTGTTCTTTAAAAGGCAGCTGTTCATGCTTCTGAACAGGGAGGGTTGGGGGTTTGCCCCGCTCCATGTCCTTTCTGATTGACGGGCAGTGTTATGAGGTCTACCTCACCACTGGGGACACATCGTACTTTAACTGTGGCAGCACGTCCCACTTGGCTACCCAGTGCCTGAAGAAGAAGCCGGCCATGGCAGAGCCACCTGTGGCTGTGGCTGGTGGTGGCTCATTCGCCTCTGGTGTGGGAGCCCAGTCAGGTGGGGACAGGCCTGTGGAGGGGCCAGTAGGGAGCAATCCTGCGATGAAACACCCACCTCACTGTGTCCCTCCACCAGTCAAGCTTTGCATGCCCCCCTGGGGGTGTTTCACATCTGGCTGACCTGCTTCCTGGAGCACATCTGCCAGCCTGGGGGTACTGCCATCACCACCCAGGGGTTCTGGCCTGTCTTTGGCCCTGTGCACCCTGGGGTACACAGGCCTAGTAGACCTTGAAAGTGCTTGACCAACAGAGAAAACTTGGGGTGCTTCCTTTAGCCTGAAGCACAAAAAGTAGCCTCCCTTAGTCAGCCACACCGAGGGGGCACCAAGGCATAACCCAATCCCTCTCCCAGCCAGTCCACTACCCTGTGCACAGTGGAGAACTTTACTGGTTAAAGAGGGAAAGCATGGGGAAGAGTGCAGGTTACAGAAGTTTTACAGAATAACCTTAGTGCAAGCATTGTGGCTAGGTAGCCTTTGATCACGCATCTCTTTTACTGCAAGCTATATATCTAGATAGGTTTCAGCGGTTTACTCACCTCAGCATCTTGAGAGAGAGAGCTGCAGATGTTTCAGCTGCTTTGTGAATCTTGATCATGGCTGCTCTGCCCCACCTCCTGGGCAGTCCTAGGTTATATCAACCTGTATGAGCTGTGTAATTGTGTGAATCGATCATTTTTAGATTTCATCTTGCATTTCCTATTACTTTGTCATTGAATAAAGTCTTTCTGAGATAAAGATTTCTTCCAGTCTTGGTTCACAACCGGCTCTTGGGGAAGTTTCTGTACAGCATGTGAAGAGAGGCCATACTCCATGCTTGATGTCAGGTAGGGGGTGTGGTGTTTGGGGGACATGGGCGAGGGGGTCTGGGTTGTTTTGGGGTGGCATGTGGTTGTTTTGGGATGGCCAGGGGTGGGTGGGAATGGAGTAGGCCGATTGGGGCTCCCCTGACACTGCTTTGGGGGCAGCTGTCCTGGGCACGGGGATCCCTGGTACCCAAGGAATCTTACTCAACCTTGATAACAACCCCAGCCCACCCCCATGCTGGCTCTAAGCTTTGGAATAGGTCTTTGTCTGCTTTTTGATGCGAGGATACAGATGGCAGGAGGCAGATTATTCTGTCTGTTTTACATAAAAATTCCTCTATTAATGTTTCCATTCAGGTTTTAGAAAATCCACAAGTGAGTTACATTTTTATAAATCCAGGCATTGGTTTTTTACATTTTTTTTCTCATTTTTACAATTACATTTTTAACATTTTTTTGCATTCCATTTTTTACATAAACCATTTTAATGTTGAAACACACAGTAGAGAAATACCCAATTCAGGAACTGCATGTATCTTTTTCCATGGGCATACTGGCCAGATGCATTTTTTTCTCATGGTTACAACCACCAGACACTGACAATAAGCAGGCACACCTACTTTGTTCTAGGGTGCCATGTGCATAACTGTAAAGCTTATAGTTAGTCAAAAATAACATGGACTGATGACTTGGAAAACTTTAACTAAAGCAACAAAGACTATCTCCCTGGGGGTTTTTATGAAGTTTTGATTTAGTGGGTGTTTTTGTTTTGTTTTTTGCTTCTGTATTAGTGTGTTTGCAATTATTCCAGGATGGTGAAAGAGCATGGAGACAGTCAGTTTTTGAAGTGAGCGGCTTTCAGACGATAAGACCCACCATTCCTTTTTAAATATTTGGCACATTAACAAATCCACACTGAGTTCCTCAACAAGGGAAGCTTGCCCACCAGCCCAGGTCCTAAGGCCCACAAGGCCTCGGGTACTAAGTGCAGGCTTTGGGCAAGAGTGGCGGAAAGGTGAAAGGGGATTCAGCAGTATTATGAATGTACTAGTGAATTGCCTGTCAAGAATGATGGGAGGGGACAGAGGCCTTAGTCTGTCCCACCGCCCTGGCGAGGAGCCGATTCCCCGGTCCCCCTTGCCGCTTCAGGCCAGGTTCGGGTCTGGGCCAGGATCTGCTCCCACCTGCCACTTTAGGCCGTGGCCAGGGCGGGGGCCATGGCTGTGGCTGGTCCCCTTCGCAGGGTTATTTCCCCCCTCCTGCCCACTGCTTTGGGCTGGGCCAGGCCTGGGCTGGGGCTGCTTCCCCCTCCCCACCACTGCTTTGGGCTGGGCCGGGGCCGGTTCCCACCTTTTTCCTCGGGGCCATTCCCACCTCCCTTTTGCCGCTTAAGGCCAGGACCAGTCCCCGCCTCCCGTTCCCTCTCCTCTTTTCCCCTCTGCCGCTTTGGCCCAGGCTGAGGCTGTGCCCGTTCTCCCCCTCCTCCCCCCAGTGCTTCGGGCCAGAGCCAGGGCCCTGCCCCGCCAGCCGTCACTGCTGTCACCTCAGGCCGCAGCTATTAGCAGAGCTGGCCCCGCCCCATGCTCGGCCGCCACGATGATGGCAGCACAGCCACCAGCTCCTGTCTGAATGCACGCACTCTGATTGGTTATTTCAGACAACCAATCAGAGTGTGAATAAAGCCTTACGGAAAGACAGACTAGGGCTTTTATAATATTAGGATAGTGTGTGTGTAAGCAGGCCCTGAGAAACTTGGTTGATTCATTACTTAAATTGATTCTGTGACACATTTGATGAGTGTATCATATGAACAGTGGTAAGGGACACGGCCAGCTCCATGAACACTTTTATTTACACTCT